ATACTGGATCATCAGCACCATGGGATGATGGTGGAACAGCCTGTCCCCTCGTTGCCTTGCTCCCTGATCAGACCTCAGTCTCCAGTAGCAGTCTTGTCCACTTCTCATTACGCCCCCTACCATCTCCCTTACTCAGAGACCATCTGCCTTCAGAACCTTCAGCTGCTTCAGTATTTGCTGGGAATGTTGTTCCCCACCAGAAACGAGGTTTGACTCCTTTCTTGCCACCTCTGCAAAGCTGTTTCCGCTGGCAGGACAGGGTTTCCCCAACTGCTGCTTTGCAGAGCTGGGCCAGGAAGTCCCAGCTCGCCGCGAGCATGCAGAGCTGATGCTGCCCACCACATTTCTGAGGTGTTAAGACATGGGCAGACACTTTCCTGACCTAAATGACACTAGAAATCTTTTAGCCAAACCAGCCCTAAAAATGCCCAAAGCAGTGGTGAGCTGGGTAACACCCATTTATAGACCAGCTTCATCCCCGTGAGCCTTGTGCAGCAAAGAGCAGGAACCCCTGCAGCTGCAGCCCCCCTGTCACGCTCCCCTGGCCCTGCCTGTTCCTGAAGGGGACACAGCTGCATTTGCAGAAACACCACCAGGGAAACACACCGCTCGACCCACAGCAGGTGCCTGCCCCTACACATGCTGCAAGGCCTCCTGTGTCCCCGAGGGGTTGGAGCCTGCATGGATGAGATGCAAAATCACCACGCTGAAGGTGTCGCATCAGCGTCCCCAGCAGTGCTGGCAGCGAAGGGTTGGTGTCCCCACCAGTGTCTCAGTGAGGCAGCACTGAACCAGACCCTCCATCTCCCCAGCACGTTAGCCCAGATGTGAGCTGCAGCTGGCTCCTGTGGCCACGCTGGCACGACACAGCCCTGTCCCCGGGCTACTGCTTTTGCTAAGGACAGCCTAAGGAGCGATGCTGAGGGCAGCACCCTGCTGAAAGGCTTCCAGCCTCATCCCTCCCCCCTTGCCAGCTGTGGGCTCAGGGACACATCTGTCCCCTGCTTCGGATTAAGGTCTGTCCCATCTGTGCCGGGAGGAAGATGCAGAGCCAGGCGACCCGCAGCCTCCTCTCCTGCCTGCACTCTGCCTCCACTGGGGGCTGAAGCAACACCGCTATCTCTTTTGGATCAGCTGGAGGACCCCCTAGCTCCCTTTCTACCCTCCTCTCCCTTTTTCTTCTGTACAGAAAGCCACAGAGGCAGGGTGGGGAACAGCAGCAGTTCAGTTTCTAAAGCCGTCCTGTTTCCTGTCCTCTGCCAAAACCTCTTCTGCTTTCCTACCCAGGGCGTTGGGGCTCGCCCGCACCCAGCTGCCAGAGGAATGGGTGATGTTGTTTGTTTTTTTGGTCACAGTGATGATGTGTTTATAGCAACCATTGCTCCGCAATCCACAAACTTCACTGATCTCAGCCCAAGCTTCTGAAATAATGGCAGAGGAAGCACAACCCCTTCCTCCAGGGTAAGCAATGGTGGTATTTCAGATCACCTAAGTGGAGGACCTTTGTGCTGGGCATCACCATGCTGGAGATCACCCGACACCTATTGCTGCTCCAGATGGGCACTTCAGGGCTGGAGCTGTGTCCTGACTCCACCTGCAGTGGCAGCAATATCCCCATGGCTCCTGCTTGGTGAGCGGGGGGGATGTGGGGGTTGCCAGCCACATCCTGAGGGTCTTCTCTCTACCTCGAGTGGGGGCAGCAGCTGATAGGGCACACCAAGCCAGCATCCCTCAGATGCTTCCAACAGAAAGTTGGGATTTGCCCTGAGCATCCTGCCTTCACCATGTCTCTTGCTGCAGGAGCAGCACAGCCAGGTCATTGCCACACTGTGAGGGCAGGGACCATCCCAGCCTGTCCCCAGCTCCCACCAGGGCTCAGAGCCAAAAGCACTGCAGACGAGCCATGCCAGAAGCCGTGCTGCTCCCTGTGTCTGCAGCTCACACTGCAGGCCACAGAGATTTACCGTTCTGTGGAGAAAAGACTGTGTCTGCTGACAGCCCACCTCCCCGGCACACTGGCCGCTGCTGAGCCTCACTGAGCTGGGAGGGGAGCATCTGGCTAGGATGCGGATTTCCTATCCAAATGCGATACAGCTGTTTCTGCTTCCTCTCCGAAGACTAAAGCAAGTTTTAAAAAAATCAATTTACCATGTATTTTCTTTGACCAAGGCTCCTTGTGGATGTGACCCGTGCCTGAACTGCCCAGCCTCACAGCATCAGGGCTGGAGCAGGCAGAGAGCATGACTTGTACAAGCACAGCACTGAGGGGAATATCCTGACAGCAAGGCCTGGGGCTAAACGCCATCTCACTGGGAGTGCCTATTGCAGGGCTGGCAGAGAAATAGAATACTCAGAGGGAGCTTTTTGAGAATCAATACTCAATGGTTTATTCCCAGAGCTTGCTTGAGGGACCCCCAGTTTTTAACACCCCCAACACACAGCACGGAGTGAGGCAGCTTCAGGATTGGGTTTAGCTTCTTTGCAGCTCTCCTGAGGCTGCGCAGCCTTTGCACAGTTCCTACACTCCCCTGTGCACCCAGAGTGGGGACAGCAGTCCCCAGCCACCACAGCTATACCACAAATGGTGGCAGGGGCCAAAGCAGACAGCAGCCCTGGCAGCACCCTGTAAACAGCCACACACTGCCTCTTGCCCCAGCCACTGCCCACAGAAAGGGCTTTCAGCTGCAGGGCTGGATCACCCCAGCCTCTCCCCAGGCAGCCCCTGTTTTCCCTCTTATTTGTTCCCTGCTCGTCCCTTCTAGCCTGGCCCCTTGCACCTGAAATTAGCTGCTCCTGAAAAGTTTTGGTGCCTGGCCCTGTTTGGAAAAACCAGGAGCCCAATTCACAGGTCCCTCTACCAGCTGTATACACTTAAGTAAGCCCAGAGGATGACGAGGCTTGTGTTTGCCGTTACTTTTAATGCTAAGGGTAAACACTATCTCACTGGCACGCTCAAGGCTGCCGAGATTATATCAGTAGTCTGCTTTGAAGTCCGGTTTGCAGAGGAAAGCCAGTCCCCAGTGCCCCAGGGGCGGGCTGGGTGCCAGCAGCAGTGCAGAGCAGGGGGTGCACAGCAGGACCATCTCGCTGGCTGGGAGCCATGGGTGCTGGCATATCCAGAGGAGGCTGCTGGCATATCCAGAGGAGGCTGCTGGCATATCCAGAGGAGGCTGCTGGCAAGGGCAGCGGTGGGAGTGGAAGTGCAGAGGACCCTACAAGCCCTGGCTGGCTGGGAGGCTTGGTGGTGGCCGAACAGCAACAGTCAGGGTTTGCCTTTGACACAGCCGCCTGCGTTTGTTTGTGGCAAGTGGGTGGGAGGCGAGGCAGCAACAATGGTTGAGTTGGTCCCACTGAAGCATGCTTGGTGGATGCAGAACCTTCTGGCATCGAGCACATGGGAAGTTTTAACATGCTTATCAGATTGGGCTGCTTTTGACACCAAGGATTTTGACCTTGGACATGTACCTCTGACCCCTGAGGGCTTTGGCTAAGCCCCAGGAAGGCTGGCGTGACAGTAAGACACAATCTCTAAGGAAATGCATGCATAAACCATAGACAAAAATATCCCAGTGCGTTGTGCAGTATCTCTGAATATGTAAATGAGGTGGTTCAGGTTTTTTTTGGTTAAGAAACCATTTTAGAAACATCCCTCATGTCGACATCTTTTACATCTGTCAGTGCTGTTCTTCCAGCAGAGCAAAGAGGCTGAAACACAAAAGAGCAAAGTGCTTGTGAGCCAGCTCTCACTTTGTAATTTTCCCTACTGACGGAGACTGGCTCTGACTCACTGGTAACCTGCACCTTCTTTGGCTTTCTTTCATATGGCTGCTCAGAGTGAAAGCAGCAAGGACCAGGTTTTCCTGATGTGACAGCCAGACACCCCGCTGCCCCACCAAGGCCTGCGAACCTCCAATGCAGATCCAGGAGCAAAGAGCTGGGGGCTGCCCCCGGGCATGGCTTTCCAGCAGGCACTGCCAGGGGCTGGGATGCAGCCAGGAGGCTCATGGTGGGAGCTGCCACGCTGTAGACTTCTGCAAATGTCATGACACAGACCGAGGGAGGCCGTGGGTGGGGTTGGACCTTCCCAATGAGCCCAGGGAGATCCCAACCCCAAACAAGCGCTGGAACAACACCCACCACTCCTTCCCTTGGGATGCCTACAGCCAAGGGCAGGACCCCACGCACACCAGGAGCAAAAGCCCATGGAGCCATCACATGGTGTGGGGCTCGATCCAGAGGCCACATGGGGTCCTTAAGCAAGCAGCAAGAGCTTGGCAATTCCCACAGGACCCCCATTACAGAAAGCACAGCTGCTACATGGGGGAAGCATCTTTTGGTCTGGGTTTATTAAAGACTGAGAATACAACTGTAGGCCCAGCCATGAGAACTGGGTGCCAGAAGCAGGGCTGGGTTTTGGCTGGAAGGGTGCGGTCTCTTCTCCAGGCGACCTTCAGCAATACCGTCCAAATTTCCTATCCGGCAGGGCGACCCAACGCCCTCACCCCGGCAGCACTCCATCTGGAGCAGAGCCCCTCTCCGCACCAGCCCCAGCCTCGGTTACTTATTGCTTTTAACTTGCTAGTCTAGTACAGAGTGAATTTAAAACAAAAATGCATGTCTGTTGTGGTGCGTTTGTGCTGTCTTCGGGCTGTGCTGGGAATCCTAGCCGTCAGACCTGGAGAGGGATGGAAGAGAAGGGATGGATGAAGTCAGGCTGGGCTGGGAGCAGACACATCCCAGGGACAATGGTGCTCTGGGACGGAGCCCGTCTTTGCCAACTGGCCACAGAGCAAAAGTCTTTGGCGTCTGCTGGTGGAGCTAAGTGGGAGCCAACAGTCGCCTTGGGCTGGCAGAGAGGAGGAGGGCTGGGAGTTACAGCCAGCCCAGAAAGACACCATAGCGCCCCTGCCTTCCCCGCCTGCCTTGGAGGGGACAGCCCCTGGTAGCCCACACAGCTGGGGGCAGAAGGGGAGCTCGGAGGGAAGGCACCAACCTGAGGTTTATTTGAAAGTGTGGCTCTCGGCTCCTCCCCGGCCAAACCCTGGAAGAGAGACAGAGTGGAATCAGCACTGCCGTGGAATGGCAAGCATGTCGAGGGATGCACCTCATCAACATACAGGAGCCCCAAGCCCCTTTTCCCTCCCGCCCATAACCCCAACCACAGTGACCCTACCTTTGGGCCCAAACAAGGCGGCATAGCAGGGGTGGTTGCAGTAGGGCTTGCCGTCGTGCTGTGGGGACAGAGAACAAACATCAGCTCCAACCGCCCTTCAGCTTCACCTCTCCCCATCCCACTCCTCCTGCAGCCCCTAGCTGTGGGGGACAGGGACTTCCTGGGCAGCAAACCTCACCTCTGCATGGCCTCCAGATGTCAGGGTCTTGTTACACTTCTCACATCTCAAGCAGGGCCGGTGCCAGTCCTTCCCCAGAGAAGTCACCTTCTCAGCTGCAGCAGAAAGAAGGTGGATTAGTCGAGGCACAGAACAGGCACAAGTCAGTTTTAGCAGGTTGGCCTCCGTGCCACCAACCCTAGGGAGGACATTTTGAGGCATTTTCTCGGGTCTACTTGTCCAGAACAGAGGGCACCATGTTTCAAACCCAAGTGCTCACTGTGCACACACGTCACCATGCACATCCAAGCACCCGTACTCGAAACTGCAGGGCCATGCCCAGGGTGAACGCCACCACATTCACGCGGATGGACCAACTTCCATCCATCTTCCAAAGAACTGGGGAAGTCCCCCCTCCCAACATAAGCCTGCAAAGGGATTAATTTCTCCCCAGCCAGATGGAGCCCAGGCAATCACTAGAGTTGGCAGGGGAGAAAGGGGGATGCTGGCAAGGATCAGGAAGGCAAAGCCATTGCTGTGCCCTGCCCCAACACAAACCAGGCCCCTCCAGCTGCTAGCGCTCTGACCAGAGCTCTGATTTTGCACACACCATGGCAAACCAGAGCAGAGCAGGAGCTTGGCCGGGGTTCAGGCAGCCACAGAGGGGACAACGTACTGCTTGCTGGAGCCAGGACATGTTTATGGAGAACAGGGTGGCTCTTAATTGCGGGACAGCGGGGGAGGAGGGTATTTTCTGCACACATGAGCTCTTCATATTGGCAGCCATGCTCCGGGGGCTGTAATAAGTGACAAAGTAGAGCTTCCCACAGGAACCACGTCAAAGCAAGGTCTGAGCACTCTCCCCATGCTGCAAAAGGAGGTCAAGCAATGGGATTGAGCCACTGCTGGCAGCATGTGCCCCAGGGGCCCTCAGCAGCCTGAAGCACCTCTTCTTTGGAGTCCAAGTACATCCAAAACAGCTTATGCAAGGCACAAGCTGGCGGCTGCAGAGGTGGGAGCGGCAGCAGTGCCCAAATGTCACAAGGCAGCTCCACTGCCATCTCCCAGTGGCACAAAGAGCCTCCTGTGCCCACAGCATTCTCCCCCCGGGCAGACCCAGGAGCCTAAGCCTGGCCCACAGCGGGGCCCTCCCATCACAGAGTTTCTGAAAGGTGCTTAGCCTCCCCGCCTCTCACACAAACATTTGCACGAACACTTAGGAGCTCTGCCATGGTTCACTGCAGCAGGACCCCCCCCCAGCTCTCAGCCACACAGGCAAGATTCCCCTGCAAATCCCATCCCTGGTTCTCTTGGCATCATCTCCTCCTCATCCCTGCTCTCTACAGACACAGTTTGGCCGAAAACAGCCCAGGGTGCACCCAAGCAGGACCACCAGGCAAGCAGGGCTTGCTTCATCTCCTGTGCCAGCACTCCTTATCCCCAGGGATAGAAATCAGTCAGTGGGCTCAGTCCTCCAGCAGCTTTTGAAACCTCCTCAGCCTCTGCATCAACACAGACAGTTTTGTAAGAGCAGCCTGATAAGCATAGGGCCAAACCACTCCTTGGTCAAACGGTCCCGTCCTGGCACCTTCACAGCCACACCTGTGGGCACGGCAAATCCAGCTCACCCTGACTGGGATCAAAGCGGGTCCACAGGGACATGGGAAACATTGACACCAGCACCTTGGTAGCTCCTGGCATGAAGCCACATGGGTAAATGAGGTGCCCTCTGGATCCTTGGTTGCAGGAGGGAGCCACAGACTGTCTTATGCCAAATTCCCACCTCATTGCCTGGCTGCAAGCAGTGAGTTCAAGTTTAGGCAGAGATGTCCCCCAACCACAGGAGCCACATCCCCAGCATCCCTGCAGGCAGCACCGAGCACATCTCCCCAGGGTAGGCATTGCTAACAGGCACGGCTGTTTGGCAGGGAGAGCAGCCCTGTGTTTCAGCCTCCAATGTCTTTGGCAGAGCAGAAGTAGAAGCTGGAGTGCACACATACACACACAAGCGAAGGAGAAATAGGGCAGGAAGAGCAGAAGTCAGTGGCGGCACTCAGGTCCCACATCCCTCATCTCTAGTAGATTAAAAAGCAGGGAGTGCATATTAACTACTTCCAGCAAACGCCCTCAAGTTCAGCTAAACCAAGGAAGTGATGAGGTCTGTTCCAGCAGCATGAGAGGCTCAATCCCCCATATATCTTCAGGCAGCCCAGTGGGACCATGGAGTCCCAGTTTGGAGGGAGGACATCTACCTGAAGCCTAACAGCCAACAGCAGCCCAATGAGGTTTGTGGCTAGCCTGTAACAGCAGCTTAAAAATAACACTCCAGGGCTGTCATCTTGCTGTGCTAAACCACGCAGGATGTGTGGGCAACCCACTGACCCAAGAGGATGCCCAAGGACAGGAGGTGACCTTAGGAAGGTGCTTGCTTGCCCGCCCTGGCTTTCAGAGCAGCAGGCCTTTGGGCTCCAAGCTGAGTGGTCTTCAGGGCCACCTGCCTCGGCACAGGGCTGCGGGCAGTGCTATGAAAGAAGCAGGGCTGAGCTCTCTCTCACACTGCGCCATGGCCCTGTCTGCAGGCTGAGAGTACCCACCACAACCCACACCCTGCACCCTGGGGACCACAACACAGGAGTGTGCGGGTTCAGGGCACCCCAAAAATTTGCAGTGCTGGGGTGCACATCGAGGCACCCAGGACCTGCGGCGCTGCGGTGTACCGCGATCTGTAAGCACCAGACTGCCCTGGGGATGTACAGCACCGGGATGCCCGGGAACCCACAGCCCGGTGGGGTGCAGCATCAGGGCCCCCTGGCTTAAGCAGCCCGGCGGGGCGGGGGCGGTCGAGGAGGGAGCAGGAAGCC